CCCCAAAACCCCAAAACCCCAAAACCCCAGCTTTGTCTAAAAGCTGGAATTAGGTAGAAATATAATATTTAAAATGGAAAAACAGATTGATGAAAATGCAGTAGGCCATGCACAGAAATTCCTGGCCAATAGTTCAAACATTGAACAATTTGAGATGCTCCTTTGCAAGCATTTCGATCCTGGCTCAGTATCTGATGGTAAAAAGTTGTATTTTATGAAGAAAATATACCGTAAATTTTTAAAATCACGACAAAATGCTGCTGATCTTCTAAACCACCTAGAGAAAATCAAGCTGAAGGAGAAAGAGGCTGACAGCTTGAAGAAAACCCTACTCTCGAACCAGAAAAACCAGAGCAAGGATATTTTAGAGATGGAGAAGGCTATCAAGGATGATATTACTCAATACTTGAAGGATTTGAGGACTTACAAAGATAAATATGCCTATCTTCAGAAGATCAACATTAATCCAGCCCTCACTCGTGGCGAGAAGCACACCTTGGCTGACTATGTTTCGCTTGAAGAAATAGAAGAGAGCAAGGAAAATCTTGATTCTAATAAGGAGAAACTTCTAACCAGGTTGAAGAAGCTTAATCAGAACAACCAAAATTTACAAAGTATGATCAATGGCTTACAGGAAAATGTAGGTGAACACGAGAAGGAGATGCCTTATTATTCCAAGTTACTCTCAAACGCATACCAGAAGCTGAAGGAAATCGGCAGGAGATCCGGCCTCACTGAATTTGACAGCAACCCTGACTTATTAGGCAAAGGTGATCATGAGTGGAAATCATCAGATAAGGACCAGTACAAGGTCCTTTCTGATGTTCTCAAGACTTCTTTGGATACTCTTGAAGAGCTGTCAGCAAGCATAGAAATATTGTCCAACAAGTACATATAAATATGTGTAAATAAGAACTTTGACAAATTGTTGGTCATCAACAAAGCTATTGGAATCAACGAAGGAGAAAGAATCAAGACGTTGAAAAATTATGAAGGGTTCAAAAAGGAGTATAAGTACTTTCAAATACCTAAATGTCTCCCAAAGTGTTATAATGAGTCTATCATGGAGATCAAGCGCCGTGATAAGTACAACAAGTTCTTCAAGTACATCCTTGACAAACTCAAGGCGATTTGGGAATACGAGAATAAGAAACGTGACCAATTCTTGAACAAAAATGGACTGTACATTCCTAAGCGCTTACTCCCCCAATTAGGAAACAAGGCTCCCTTCTTTAGAATGAATATAAAGGAGATAGACCTTGATGAGTGCCCTCAAGGGTTAATTTTGGAGCAGGACAAATACATCAATGGAGTTGACAGCAAAGTTTATTATTTTGAGAAAGTCTTCGCTGACTTAATGAAGAAGATGGAGAAGAGCTCAAAAGTAAGTCAAAGTTTGATGAAATTAGTAAATCTAATAATTCTAAAACTTCTAATTCATTTATAGCATCTAAATCCAAAAACTCCGTATCTTTCATCAGAGGTGGCAAAGCTCAAAGCTGAGATTAAGGCGATCAATGCATCTCATGAAAAAGATTTACTGAAAATTACCAAGCCGTATAAAGAGGAGATATGTAATCTCACAGTTGAACTCCAAGAACTTAAACAGAAAGGTGAGTTTAGCTTATTCTCAAGCCCATAACATTCTTTAGATCAGGAAAGGACTCAGAATGTACTGAAAGATGCAGAGCAAAAGATAATTGCTTTGAAAACCCAAAATGCGGACCTCTCAAACCAACATATGGAGCTCAAAAACCAGCTCAGCCTACAAATCCAAGAGAAATCCCAAATATTACAGAAAAACGAGATCATGAAACTAGAAATTGAACAACTAAATACTACAAAGATTGATACTGAAAGGTTAAACCAGCTTATGAGTGAAGCAATCACAAATCTCAAAATTCCGGTTGAATTACCCGCTGATGAGACCTTCTTTGAAAGTGGGTTCAAACAACTTTGTAAGAGGTACTATGAGCTAATGACCGATGTCAAACATTTGGTCTCTGATGATAATTAATCTCTAACGTATTGAACCAGCCTCATACACATCCTAGTTTGAAGCCTGTTTTGCCAGGGTCCCACATTTCCATAAAATTCAGGTAAATTATATCAAATTCTGTGGTGAGAGTCCCAATTGGGGTTTTGGGGTTTTGGGGTTTTGGGG